GGCCATATAAAGGGCATCGGGGACAATGGCCCGCCCGAACAGAACGGTCGCCTACCCCCAAGTGCACAAATTTTTGTGCACCGGGCCTCTAGTATGAATATATTAGGTAGCTGAGTAGGATTAGTGCAACCCCCCCATCCTCACTCCCACCCTCAGGCTTAGCATATTTAGAATAAGAAGTATGGTAGAAACATCTTGGCCATCGGAGAAATTGTTAGTAGAGTGGGAGAGCTTCTAGGTTGTAAAGGTCCTGCATTAGCAGTATTGAAGAGGTTGAAAAATTACCTTTGAATATTTAGTTAACCACATTTCTTTAGAACTAATAAGGAATTCCTCAAGAGCCTGACAAAATTGTATACAATATCTATTTCATGGATGCTTATGCAATTTCTTCATCTATAAAATAGGGATAATAGTGTCTAGCTCAAAGGATTGTTGTGGGTTAAATAAATTAATGTGTAAAGAAGTAAAAATGTTATATTATGCAAATATGAGTATGATATTATTAATAATGATCCAATTAAAAATAGACAAATTTTTTAAATATTTTTCTCAAATGGAGCCCTATTACACTATATATGTACTCTATCGATGTTCAACTGTTTAGTGAGGTTAGGAAAATTAATGTTAGAAGTCTTTGTTTAGAGAAGTGTACATTTAATTGTAAAATTGCATTTTAAAATGCAGCCAACTCTTGGTGAGCTATATGTAAATTATCCCATTGTGGATTATTGGCCAGAAATTAAAGTAAATTTACATAAATTGAGCCAAACCTTAGGAAAAGATGAGTGAGCCGATAAAGGATCTTGAGTTGGCCATGGGAATATGAGGTAGCTGTCTGGACAGGTGATTCTGTGATTAACTATTGGTGGAAGTTGTGTAGCTGAGTAGAGAAAATAAGCATGTCTTATGAAATGAAGGAGCTGAATCTACTAAACAGTTCTGTAGTTCAGTCATATGGTCAAAGAGCAAAGTGTGGAAATTCACTTTCATGATAAGCATTTTAAATAGATGGGAGCAAAAGAAAAGGAGACAGCAACAGGGAAGAGAGTACATATGATTCAGGTCATAAGTCTTCTCATTAGATTTTATGGTAAAGCTCTGTTGGCTAGTATTTGAATGAAGCAGAATATTTGTTTATTTCAAATATTCTTCGGCACTACTCCATGTAGTGGCTAGTGAAAATCCTGTCCTGTATATGTACCATATTAGAAGAGTCATTGTTTGGTCACTGTAACGTCATGCTGTATAGGATTGTGTCGTGGAAAACAGAAATGTGCATAATTTGTTGAACATATGAGTATTGTGGCCAACTATGTACTCTCTAAGCATCATTAAACACTTCAGAAATTTGGTTATACATTTTTGTAGCGTAGTTTCTTG